TTCAATCCAATCAGCTCCAACGTCAAACTGAAACTGAAACGCCGCTCAAACCGAAGACGCGTACGAGAACATGTCTACCCGTTGACTGGGCTTGGCGCTCTTATAAGCGCAGCGCCAGCGGATGAAACAATCTGATCGCAGTGCTTGAAAGATTGTTGTGTACGGTGAGCCGGCATTCACAGCAGCCGTCCATCAACCGAGACAGGCTGCCGACCGGTCTGCCAGACGTGTCGATCCATCCCTTAGACTCCCCCACCTGTGTAGGTCCGACGTCCCGACATAACTAAACATCTCCGCTACAACGGTTCCTGATTCTCGCAGACGTGTCGAACGGCCAGAACCTGGGTCTATGCCCGCGAAGTTGAGGCGGAGGGACAGGTAACAGCAGCCCGCTGTGGGATCTGACAGAACCGGGCACGAGCCCACTGAGCACCCCGTGCCAACGCAAACGCATGTTTTGTTACTCCTGCGCGGTTTAAATTCGACCTATACAACGCATTGGATCAAGGCCAATGGTCGAATGCTGAGCAGATCCATCCAAAATATATTTATAATTAGGTAAGGGAACCTGGCAAAATGCTCTTCACACTCAACTCCTGCTTTGAAAACGGAGCCTTCACATAGCGTCCGAGAGGAATCGACGCGCGGAGACGGCTGGCAGCTGCAGCACACCATCAGCCGACGGCTGCAGCAGATTGTTCGTCGGCCTGCAGCAGATTGCCAGCTGACGGCCGCAGCAGATCGTCACCTGATGACTTCAGTGCCCCTATCAGCTGACGGCTGTAGCAGGCAAATGGTTAATTTATTATGTACCGTAAGCTGGTAGCTGCATTAGACCGTCAGGTGTCTTTGCAGCAATGGCACCTGGCCGCGTAACCAGGGCGGCGGCTGTCTGTGTAGCGGCGGTACCTGGCAGTGTCACCAGACCAGTAGCTGTCTGTGTAGCGGCGGTACCTGGCAGCGTCACCAGGCCGGCGCCCGGCGCCGACAGCCGAGGTCGGCCGGCCGAAACCTGACCCAACTCGAACACCGCCGACTGTTTGCAAACACAACACCGACGCGTCAACATGTGTCGGTCCGGATCGTGTATAGGCGTCCTTGAATATCAGATAGATTTCAAACATCAAATGGTGCTGTCCAGGCCTCTGGCTCTCAGGTAGCAACGTGGGCTGCGGTGAGCACGCAGGCCGTATTTGGTCATTGAGGACGATTTGTGCACTGGCCAGATACGCAAATCACCAGCGCCGTCGAACAGCGCTCGTTTGCCTTTGCTAGTCACAGCTGCGCTCAGAATGCGGCTCGCGCCTCGGCTAGTGCCAGCCCGACCAGCTCGCTGCTCATCTGAATGCAGCGCCACCGCCACAGCAGCTCAGACTAATGAGCGGAGCTCCGGCGGTGCGCCAGCAGTTCGGCGGCTGACACGGTAAGTACAGGCGGGATAGAGGCTCGGCGTCTGGGCTGCACAACGGCTTGTCCTCGTGGCCACTCAAGGAAGCTGGGTACATCCACACGACGACGGCGGGCTGGGCACTGCTGTATGGTTCTTGCCGAATCCTGGCGTGGCATTGGCGACGGGCCTGATTTTCTGAACGGTTATTGCGCGACAACGAGTAGTACGATTGGCGTATCGCAGCCAGCACTGGTCGGTCCCCCTTGAGCGCTCTCGCTCTCACGCCGCCGCCGCGCGCCCGGCGGTCGTGACAGCATTGCAGCCGCCGGCGCTCGCGGCCGCCCCCGCACGGCCGTCTTTATTGCCGCCGTCTACAGTCGGCGAGCTGTACGGCACTGACCCTGTGCAGAGGCGCAGACAGGCACACTTTGCGAGAGACTGCCTCGTCCCGCTAAAGATCAAGATACACTGCCGGCCAATGAGTGCGCTTTGTCAGCTGTTGCGGGGCTATGGGTGTGGTTTCGCAAAACATGGGGGGGGGGGGAGTAGAAGCCCAGATAAATAAGGAACTACACCCCAGCACGGGGCCCACCCCGCCCCCAAACCTGGACGCGCCCGTGACCTTTTCGACGGGCCGGTCGTGACGGCCGTAAACGAAGGGCCATTGTACGTCACGGAGATGAAACCACGCACTGCCTTGATAACCGGCATCTATTGCTGAGTGCAGACGTGAGAGGTAGACGGCTGGTGCATGGACCCGGCTGATTACGGTCGAGGAGCTGGTCGAGGAGCTGTATACAGGCATGGGCATGGCGCGGAATAGCAATGCAGGCCGCCATTCAAATCAGCCGCTAAGCTGGGCTCCGGTTGCCGGCACCCCGGCCGTGGGAAGGCTGCTGTGCCAGGACAGGGCCCACTGCCAGGCGCGGAGAGAGGCTGCGCTGAAAACACACTTGACGTTGAATAAACATCAGGCCATGTGCATGACCTTAAGTGGTATGAGCTGTGCGTTTCACGAGGCTTTTCCCCTCCCGGTGTGCTGCTATTCCAGAGACCATGTGGAGACAGAGCATCAGGCGCGGATGCTATGCTGGGGCGCCTCGTGCTGGTGCATCCCGTCATCATTTCGGCCCCTGCACTGCTCTGTGCTGTACCCAATACAAGCTACCCTGCTGCCACTTGACGCTCTGGAAACTTAAGTATATACCGCGCGCTGTCTGGTGATGCATACGCTGCGTGTAAATTACCATTACACAGTCACAAGCCACGCACCGACTTCACCATCATTAACGCTTTGACAGGCTGCTTACATATTCACCTGGCGTGGTTCCAGGGGGCGTGCGACTCCTGAGATGGGTGACGGCGGTACGCTGCATGGGCCACGTGACGGGTGTATGCAAGACACCCTGCCTGCTGGTGTCTGCGCGAGCTGTGAGGGTGACAGACCGTTGCCGCCGTACGTGCCCGGCTCAGCACCCGCAGCTCGGGCGGCCGCCGGGGCTGGCATGGCCACTGGGAGCCGCTTCAGTCAGCGACTTGGCAGTCACAACGGGGGTTCTATGCCCAGTGATGCGATCCTGAGTAGCCACATGGCATGCCTTGCGAGTATTAAAACGCACGGCATACAAGTACAGTGAAAAAGAGTCAATGGTCTGATGTTATCATAATACAACGTGTCAATGGCAGCACGATTAGATTGAACAGATATACCCAATTAAATGTTACTCGAGTTTACTACCGAAAACGAATATAAGATAACGCCAACTGGATGAACAAGATCATGATGTGTACATATAAAAAATCTTAGATCGTAATGCATCGAATTAGCCCCAAAAACGCACGCATATTTCAGCCGTGCGCTTTCCTTAGCACACATATACATTTCCTTACCTGCTTACTATGTACAACTCCGTTAAACAACTACATTGGCCAGGCAAAACGCAACATTCGGGGGCGCTGTAGCGAGCACATCCGAGGTGCAAATAACGAGAACCAAAACACTTCATTTGGTGAGCAATTCACAGACGCACAGCAAACGGAAATTGACACGAATTCGCTGCAGATTCCTACCTGCAGGTATGTAAAGATGGCGCTGAATCAAGAATTGCGGACTCAATTTAAATAAGGAACCTTAAACCTACGCTGAACACCATGCGCTGTTTGACGCATTTTGTATCCTATATATTTGCTCGACATAATGCTGCCCGAGAATAATGCACATTTTTGTAAAATGTTATATTGCAGATGTTTATGATTTGAGTCGGATGCTTATAGTATATATATATATATATATATATATATATATATATATATATATATATATATACGTTTTCAGACTAATTGGGTCTTTTAAGAGCACAAAGGTTTTCTATTCTTCTCTACACACCTTTCAGAACTCGCTTAGATGTAATCCTTATGTTTAACGAATGTTTGCTGTGCGGCAACTCGTTTATAGCTGGACCTTATCAACTCACTGCTCTATCAGAAACCCCACTGATATCGATACAAAATTGCAGTATCGGCTGGTCCCTGTCGGCATGCAGAAACCATTGCAGGTATCAGGGCATCTGCGTGCGGCTGAGACACCTTCTCCCCGCACGGTTTCAGTCGCTGTAAAAGAGCCAACTGCGTCCAAAGCACTCCCAGTTGCACGCTACGACATACATATGCGAGCCTTCTCCCAGACGCATTGGGGGGGGGGGGGGGGAGACGCATCACCGTGGACGACTTCCAGCAAGACCCAATACGGAAGATACGCGAGAGAACTCACCCAGTGTATGGGAGGCGTCTGACAGACTGGTACTGATGATACAATTAGTGTCAAGTCCACTTATCATTGCCATGCGACCCCCTACCGAGTGCATTTGCATACCGCCTCCAACAGTTCAGGCAGTGGAGTTCGGCTCAGTCTGTGCACCGCGTCGATGGTGGCGCCGCGTATAGCACACGCAGTAGCGATAGACCCCGCGAGGTGGCGCGCCACGGCGACCGCAGCGCGGTTGCACGTCGGCGACGTCAGCCAATTACGGCACGCGTGCAACATCCCGCTTATGTCCGGCCAGACTGGACTGATGTCATCCAGCGAGAACGCATACCCGTACAATGTGATCAGGTCACCTGGTATGGGCCGCAACAAGCCGCCCACGTTCAGTTATCGACGGCAGTTTACATTAAATCCTCTATTAATTCAGTTCTATTAATATTGAACCCTGCCCAACCGCCCAACACAACACCTGCACCGTGACGCTGACGGCAGTGATCCGCGTCGGCGACTGCGGCACCGCTGGGCACTAAATCGTGGCCCTCACCCTAGCTCATCAGCAGAGCGCTGCCAAGGAAATCGCACGAGCAAGCCCCCGAAGCTCACCTCACTTCACCCAGGATTCAATACACTGGCGCACCACCTCAAACCGTGACCTTAAGAAAACCTGGCAACTAGCTGGGAGGCAGGACTAATCCCAGCACCGACACGGGCCGGGGACCACGCATGTCAGCAGTATTGTGCCCACTCTGTGTGCATACCGCCGGTGCACCACGGCTTACTGGCGGCTCCGTTCTGCCACCTCGGCCGCGCACCTCCGCTCCGTCTCTCCCAGACCAGACGCGTGAATGACACGGCGGCTCGTATATTTCCTAGTTACACGGAGTCGAGCACAGGCGGCTCATAGCCGTCCGCCTTTTCCACGGGCGCGCCGGCCTCGCCCACGTTGGACGTCGTGTTCTTGCTGTCGCCGTGCAGCTCGAGCAGCTTGGTCATGTCGAACCGCGGCCGGCGCAGCACCTTCACCTGATGACGGAGAGACGGGGCGCCGTCAGCACACACATAAGAGGCAGGGCGCCGGGAACACGCAGTACGAGCCGCAGTGCACTCAGTACGGGGCGGGACGGGGAATATGGACACGACGTGAAACCCAAGATACCACGTTCATGCGCACAGTCACTGCAGCGATCTGTGGCACATTTCCGAAGTCTTTGCAATGGATGTTAACACCACATGCACGTACGCATGCATGTAACTCAGGTGATGCCTACAAACCGCGAACACTGTCGACATTTTGACCCAGCCAACGTCTGCTCTTTCATGCACGACCAGCAAACCCTTTGCCGTGGTTTGTCGGTGGAAAGCCCACGACGAAACAGGCCCGAAACGTGGAACACCCCCAGTCTTATTTTTGGATTGGCGGGATATTACAGCACATCGTGTCAACCTGACCAGTTTTGTTTCTGGGTTGATGGGCCATTGCAAAAACACAATGCCAACGCGACTGGGAAAAGTTTGTGCCGGATGTCAAACTTCCACAAAATAGGCGCTGGGATGGTAAATAATCCGACGTTCGTCAGAATAGAACTTCGGAATATTTAGTCTTGCTTGTACCTGGTCGCGATCACGTGGCGATGGTGGTATACAAATCATGTTAAAGGCGTATTCCACAATTGTGTGAGGCTTTCAACTGAACTAGCCATTCTCAAGAGCATTTGGTGCGGCGCACAGCCCGGCCTGTCTTAAAAGGAGTGTTTCATACGTCTATGGGATTTTAAACTGAAACCATCTTGAAGACCTTTTGGAGCTGTTCACAATCCCACCCTTCTTAAGCCCCTCTAGTTGCTAAGTTACACGCCCGAGAAAATGTGAAAAAGCATATGGAAGAGAGTACTTCAGTCACCTTGGCATCATAACGTCATAATAACATTCAAGTCCTGCCTTTCCATGGGCCATGCAGAGATCAAGGTCAGGAACAACAGAACTGGCAAGGCGTTCGCATGTGGCGTTCGTGAGCACGACTTCCAGATACAGCAGCCACTCATTGGCTCTCAATGTTGTGCAATGTAAGGTGACGATAAACAAGGTGTGATGACCTCAGACCATGACACACTGAGCAACATATTCACTAAACAAAAAATTTTACTGGCTAGAACAGTCTCTCAACTTCAAACCTATACCGGTGGTAATAAGTGAACTGATTTCATCATATCTGACCCTAACTTCAATATCTTCAATGTGGAACACCCCTTTTAAACAGGGCAGCATTGTGAGGATGACAAATGGCAAATCATCTAGATGTCAGAATTAGCAGTGCATCTTTGAGCTTCTTTGAGCACTTTCGTGACTGTCCCAAAACCACACAACTTTCAGAGCCGCATGACCCTGTCAATCTTGCCACACGCCTTAAGATTCTGGGGTGTCATGAGGGACAGAAGCTCATGAACTTTGACAAAACTTGTGTTGGGTCCATGGTGTACACTTCCTATCCAAGATCTAATTTAGAAGAGGTTCAGACTTCAGTCCTGTCCACCAGTCTGGAGGAAAATATCTGGGATTGCCATCCCACTGAAATCACCCCATAGACAATCAAATTCACTTGAACTGATCAACAATTATTCCAGTTTTTAATGGTGTCCTCTGCCTGATATGTAATGGTGTCCTCTGCCTGATATGGTAGCTGTCAGCCATTCATCTGCTGGATGTGAAGAGCTGTGTCTACACAGTGGCTCACTACACCATCAAATATGTGATTGCTTGCTGGTTGAGAGGTTTCCATGGAAAAGGTTTTGAAATGAAACAAGACCTTATGGAGAAAATAGGTGCTTTAAGTAAATTGCCATTCTAGGTTTCCATGGAAAAGGTTTTGAAATGAAACAAGACTCTATGGAGAAAATAGGTGCCTTAAGTACATTGCCATTCTGTCTTGTGACCATAAAACTACTTGATTCTTTTCATTGTTTATGTGACACTGCCCAAATCAGGCACATAATTTTTGGGAGCATCATGGCAAAGAGTCTGTGTGGTCTAAAAATGGATAACTATACAAATGTATACAAATAATGAAACAAAACTGGATTGAAAATGTGATGCTGGGGTGGGAAAATTGTGCTACTTCACCAATGATTCAGTCTACATGATGGGAGAAACTAATGATTTGGAGGTACCTGACGCACAGACAGCATAATCACTCCATATTACCCCACCACAAAAGGGGAACTTTGATTGCTTAAACACATACTGGTGCACAAAAACTGTGGCATTTCTCTGGCACCCAAAACTCGAAAAAGGCTGTCCCCAGACTGAATGAGCAATGGCCGATACCTTGCGCAGGTAGACGTCGTGCAGCGGGTAGATTTTGCTGCAGGCCTTCTCGATGTCCTTGGCGATGGTGTCCGGGATCAGCTTGTTGACCACCTCCTTCAGGTCGACGGACGACACCTCCTTAGTGATGGTCTCCACCATGGTGCGGCGGATGTTGCGGATCTGAGAGTGCTGCGCGTAGGCGGTCTTCTTCTCGGAGTTGGGGTTCTTCTTCGTGAAGCCGATGCAGAAGACGCGCAGCAGGTAGCCATCGGTGGTCTTCACGTCCACGTTGGCCTCGATCAGAGTCTGGCGGCGGACAAGGCGACGGTTACCTGGGACCCCACACCCCCGTCACGCCGCTACAACTACAGGAACACCGGCTGCGCAGCTTCACTGATCGTTAGATCGCTCACGGGCCAACGCAATAGGTCGGACACGCGAGCACGACACGTCTAATACGCCATGCATGCAAAACTTATATAATTCAGGGTCAGGGTTAAACCAGGTCAAGTTCTCCAAACTTTGTTGCTACTTTATTGCAACTTTTAGAACTTGCTTGCAGCTTGCGCAAATGATGCCAAGGTTTAGCTCAACAAGTTTAACTTTGCTGATGCATGAAAGCTATACAACATAAAGATGAATTTACTAAATTATGCTTAATTAGATGGTCTTGTGCCAGTGGCCAAACCTGCCATTGACACAGCACAACATAATGGTACAGTAAGAAGTAGAACACATGCAGAGCTTCCATTCCATTCCAGTTGCATGGAAACATCTAGTTTAATACCTGTACTCAAACCAATAACATTGGATCACATCACAGCAAAACGATGAATGCTTTTGTGCATTTGGCAACCATATCAGCAATCATAGTCACATTGATGACCAGATCAGGTGCCTATCCAGAACTAAGATGTGACACTTATGCTCCACAACCATTCCACCAATTTTCAAAATTTGTGATAAGGCAAGTTATGCAGCAAAACTGCAAATGCTTGCTTAATCAATACAGTATGAGGCAGTGTTCAAACATTTGGCCACTTTGGGTGGCAAGGAAGTGAACATATGTTCCTGCTACTACATTCCAGCTTCAAGCTCACTGCCTGTTGCCCTTGCTTAAAATCAGCACATAAGTACCAAACAGGTGGCCAAACAAGCATCCAAGTGCTTCAGCCCTGAAAAATGAGCTGGGCAGGTCAGATGTCAGGGTTTGAGGTCAAAGAACAATGGATTAGCACCAGTGAATCACATGTGGAAGATACTGGAGAGCTACAATTCTGGTGGCATGAGTTGGTAGCTGCATCCTGCACATCCTTCCTCATGCATGTTATGTTCCAAATGAATGATATCACTGCCTTACCTGCCACTTCTTGACCATAGACCTCAGCTTGTCAGTGGTGATATCCATGCCATGGAAGTTGGTCAGGCAGTTCTTGCCCTGAACCTCCTCACAGATAAGCTTGAACTTGCGGAAAGACCTCTCAGCATCCTGGTCCTGCTGCAGATCCGCCAGCGACACCTCATAGACACGGCCCTTCAGTCCATCAGAAGCAATCCCTGCAAAGGCATAGGATGTAACTTAGGTGTTGCATATGCCCAAAAATTATCCTGGCATGACTGCAAGCTTTGCTAGACAGGAATACCACTGTTGCAAACACATGATTTATCATGCTAAGGTCATTGTCCATGATGCTGGGTCAACGCCTGTCAAGCCACAACACTATTGACAGGCAATCTGTGATTAATTACTCCACCATTTTACCAGCCCATCCCAGAACTCTGTTCAAGTGTATTCCATTTCCAATAAGAAGAGCATGCTCTGACTCTACACTTTTCACAAGATAAAGATATAACATCATAGTAAGCATGTTATTTGCCCAGGCATGGCACGTGGCTTAGTGATGAACATCGCTTACAGTTAAACATTTAGTGCATCAGTTGCCCAAAACTAACACCTGACAAGGAAATTAGCACAATAATTAAATAACAACCCATACCAGCACCAGGCAAATTTCAAATTGTATGGCTATAAATCTGCAAAATTTTAATGTACACCAGTTGAATGCACCAATTATTTTAAGACCTGAAAGTGACTTGGGTAAACAATACTCCAGAAAAGGGCAATGATAACAAGTACAGCAAGGGTGCTTTCAACATAATCCTAACTACTGGGAGCAACATGGTGCATCTAGCATTTACTTACTTACAGCAGTTAATTACCACTATCTTTCCTTTTTTGCAAGTGCCCTAGCAAACACCATACCACACCTTCTCCATGACTATCACCATGCTAGAAAGACCATAGTAGTGCAGAATAAGGTAAAATTTTCACCAACTGCCACTAACCAGCACCAGCCTGGTGCACCCAAGATCTGTCCTACTGAAATCACTTAGAATATTTGCAAGATATTGATGACCTATCAGCATGCATGGTGACTATCAGGCAAGCCTGGCATAACATTTTGATTGGATGCTTGCAGACAGGTGTCAGTTTACAAAAAAGAAATACACCCATTGTGCCAGGACCCATGGGTGCAATGAGCCTTGTGTGCATGTGCCCAGAGGCCAGACCTGGCCAGATTATGCTTAATGCTCAATTACAAGTGTCTCACTATCTGAACATACCTTAAAACATCAAAATCTCCTAAAATCATAGCTCTCCATGCACTGAAGTTGACAGCAACTGAGCCAAATTCTGGGCAGTCAGATTTCACAGCATCCCACTGTGAGGTTTGTGATGCTGCTGTTATACCAGAAACATATAGTTGATGCCCAGTTTCTTTTGCATTCTGTGACAAAGGCCCAGCCAACAGACCCTTCAGCCCATGCTTATTACCTTAAAACTTTCTTAAGCACCATTTACAACTCCCTCCACTTGCATATGATTGCAAACTGCACATAAGGCCTGCTAAAATAACCACTGATTTGCCCAATAGTAGCCATGATGCAAAGATAAAAACCAGCAAAGGTAAAAACCAGCAGGCAATAACTCAAGCACAAAACCAGCCAGAAAAAAACAGCACAATGGACTGTCCTATTAATGACTGCCTGCTGTCTTGTGTTACCACCCATCCTGGACCCAGACCCAGATCATCCAGTCCAACACCAACTTACTGGTGCCCTGCGTCCTGTTGACGAGCGTCTTGCCCATCTGGCGGACCTTGAAATTCGAAGGCGCCTTGATGTCATACCAGTCCTTACGGGTGAAGGGGTCGACCCTGTCGAAAAAGGAAAAATCGTTCACGACTGTTGAATGCCGCCTAGAGCACCAGGCAAGAAACCGCTCGATTTTGAACTGACGATGAACGAGGTGACCAAAAATATGAAAATGAGGACATGAGAGAAAAGTATGACATGTCACACGGCTACTTACACCTTCTTCTTTCCTCCCTTCTTGCCAGACTTCCCCTGGTTTTTGCTTTTGCCGACCGCCATGATCGCCTCACTTTGAAAAGGAAGTTTGTGGCCGCGATGCACATAGCTGTCATTTTCCAAACAATATTTTTATTTAACCTGTCAATATGGTATTATTGCTAAAAACAGTTTTGCCTTACCCTACAAAAAAAATAGTTTCGTTCAGAAATCATCATAATCAATAGTTGATACTTATTTGAGTGATTTGCAGAAAGCCATCTCTTTGCAAAATCAAACGGCATCTGTACTTTAGCGTCCCCTATACCACATCACGTAACGTCAGCAGTGCTGCCACCTTTTTGGACTCATCATCGGCATCGCCGTGAGGTGGCCGACAGATAGTCGATAAGTAGAGAGTTGAAAGGAAAACGTCGAAGGACTGAGGTTAGCAGGGATTAAAGAATGAAATTTGAGGGCCAGATAGTCAAAAGGGATGCAAGTAGTAATGGGGAAAATCCAATTGAAAAAGTCCAAAAACAAAACTTTGACAGGGGTTAGGTCAACATGGATAGGTCAAAATATAAAAAAACGAGACAAAAGTCCACGGTAGCTTTGACAGGGGGCAAGGTCAACATGGATAAGTCAAAGTAAAAAACAAGGAGATAAAAGCCCACTGGTAGCCCACGATACATGAGCGGATGCTTACGATGAAAATTTGGGACCATGAGCGCTCCTTGTAACGCCGAGTACCAACAATACACTTAATGTTTGCTCTATAACATCGTTTAACCATGCCTCCTGGTATCCTGAATATGAATAGCCCAGAAACTTAGAATGTCGAATGTAGAGGTGTAGTTTCTTATTCAGGTCAGGGAGGAGGGCTCCAGCCCCACCCAATTCTAGCTAAATTGAGCTAGAACTAAAGCTACAAACTAAGAGTAAGCGGCGGGCTAAGGACTCACAAAATCCTATAATTTTAGGCATGACGTATTTAGACCAGGCAGTTCGTTCATCTCGTCCTTAATGTTTGTAAAAATATTGTTGGAATTCCCATGCCGCAGTAAACACGGTACTTTCAGTATAATATATACGAGATGAGTGCATACAGCAGACAGCATTGAATACATACAGCATTGAACGTAAGATGATCTAGTATTAGCCCAAACAGGAGTTTGAATGTTTTGTATAAACCTTGGAGCCTTATAATTAAGTGTCAGGATGGAAGAGAATGGCGATGAGATTCCATTTCATTCCGTCCGGTTTCGTTCGGCTCTGTCCGGCTTCGTTTTGTTACGTACGTTCCAGCTGGTTTGGTTCGGTTCCTTCCAGTTTCGTCGGGTTCCGTCCGGTTCCGTCCCGTTCTGTATGGTGTCGCCCGGTTCCGCCTAATAGTGTCCGGTCCTGTGTAGTCGCATATAGTCCTATCGACTTCCGCTCAGTCCTGTCTGGTCCCATCCTGCCCCGTCCGTAGCATCATGCCCCGTCCAGTCCTGTTTGATCTCGTCCTGTCTTGCCCGGTTTCGTCCGGTCTCGTCTGGTTCCGTCTGGTTTCGTCTGGTTCCATCTCGTTCCATCTAGGTCCATCTGGTTCCGTCTGTCCCCGCTGTTCCGTCCGGTTCCTTTCGATCATATCCGGTGACCTGCGATTCTACCTGATCACGTCCGGTCACGCGTGGTCCCGTCTGGTGCCGTCCGGTGCAGTCCGGTCCTGTCACATCTGCTTCCAACTGATCGCGTCCGGTCACGCGTGGTCCCGTCTGGTGCCGTCCGGTGCAGTCCGGCGGTTCCTTCCGACCATATCCGGTGAGCTCCGATTCCACCTGATCGCGTCCGGTCACGCGTGGTCCCGTTTGGTACCGTCCGGTGCAGTCCGGCGGTTCCTTCCGACCATATCCGTTGAGTTCCGATTCCACCTGATCGCGTCCGGTCACGCGTGGTCCCGTCTGGTGCCGTCCGGTGCAGTCCGGTCCTGTCCCATCTGCTTCCATCTGACCGCGTCCGGTTACGCGTGGTCCCGTCTGGTGCCGTCCGGTGCAGTCCGGTCCTGTCCCATCTGCTTCCATCTGATCTCGTCCGGCTCCATCTGATCCGGCCCCATCTTGTCTGTTCTCGCCCGGTCCCTCCTGGTGTGATCTGATCCCGCGCGGTCCCGCCTGCTCACGTCCGTTCCCATCCAGTCCCATTCAGTGATTAGAATTCAGTTCAAGATCCACTCGGATGACATGGAATTGGAAAAAAATACGATAGTAAGAAATTTTTGTAATGTGTTGACAAGTTATATATCTATTATAGTTCAACAACAATCATAACATTAATAAACGAGAAATAAAGGTATTGAAATCACATGAACTTTTGAAACGTTTCAAAGGCAGGTGTGAGCCGTCTCTAGGACACGGGAAGCGTTAGGGGAAGACAAACAGAAAGAAACTAAGAAAATGAAAGACAAAATGGAACAGGTAAAAACGCGCGGATACAGAAGGTGTTACTTATGTAAGCAAAATACACTTGTCTCTGCTATTTCGTGATTCGTTGTGATTGCGCAATTACAAATTTTGTCCTTTCTAATCAGGCAGCGTTTATTTTACACAACCTTATTACGATTCTGGTTACTCAGGTAAGAATTATGCATCCGTGCAAAAGTACTCTAAACGCCGCCTATAGCCTGAATGGCATTGCTTGAGAATTCGTTGTCTGGATGACAATAAGTCATGTCAATCATGCCAGTCTTTTTTTAAAGATTTGATCCGAACCCTTTGAAAGGATGGATTTCCGGGATCAAAGCTCACGCTAAGCAGTGCTTGTTGTGTGAGCCCTGACCCCTACCACCCGAGCGCTCAATTCCATGTCAACGGCAGAATTTGGGGGCGAAAGCTTAACGTGCCGCAATGTTCGGTACGGTCCGTCCTGCCCCCTTACGTCAGGCTGACCTTTGGCGCGACCGCTGCCACCGGCCGCAGGCCATACCTGTCAAGGACAAATAGCGAGCGCCCTAAAGCGACTCGAACCCACCCCGCCACGGGTGGGTGCATCGGAAGGCAGGAGCTCTAACCAACTGAGCCACCGGGACGGACAAAGTCAACCATAATCAGTAAACCATAATCAGTAAATCAGCTAATGGAATCATTGCCAGTACATTGTATCATTGCTCCAACATGCCCCATGCACGGCTGGCACGATATGTACCGCCCAACATATTGGAAGAATGTTCGCATTACCCGAACTACTTGGCAACCAAACGCCAAATGCTTCAAAAACATACGCGCCACATGCACGCCCCATCCCTCAGTAGAAGATTCAGATTAGTCTAGCCACATTGCAAGACCTTAATCACTCATTTCCACCGATCGCTATATTTTTCAGCGACACGCAAAAAGCAAATTTGTAGCGTTCACCCCAGGATGCGCGCACCTGTGCACCCAGAAGTACAATGAAAAAAGAGGGCGCTGCTGTGCTTCGACCCGGTGACTCAAGACCGGTATTCTTTCGCAAACATTTAGAGTAAGCCACCCTGATGCTAAATGAACATGATGCAACTCACCTCCCTCTCCCCACTTGTTCCCCCACGACCTTAGAGAGACCTGAAATAGTCGAACACATCTACCACATTCTGGTAAAGTGAGTTAAAGCACATCTCACACAGAACACTGGGCGTACTAACGCCGTGGAAATAGAAAACCGGACACACTACGCGCGAATCATTTCCATAGAACGTTCATCGCACCACCAAAAATCCCTTCCAAACTCCAGTAGTCTTGGATCTAGCCCCTGTGAGCCCCTCGGTCGTTTACGGACGCTGCGGACGTCCAGAAGTCGCGTTAAATGCTAGAAATCCGTTGCCCGCTTAAGATTCTTGTAATCGTCCAGCGGCCCTTTTACCAACTCAGCGACCTTTCTGGCCACTGAGGGATCACTCTGGCCATTAAAAAGTATTCCGGTCATTAAGAAGCCCTTCTGAGTGTTCCTAGGTGTCACGGCCCGCTCAGGGCATGTTTTAAGTCTCAGAGCCCTCTATATTCTCAGAGCCCCCTATATTTTCATGACTCTCGGGACCCTTCCGGCCCATTAAGCTCCACAGCGCCCGTTTTGCCGCTCATAGACTCTGGTTGGTAAGGGACACTTAAGCTGCTTTAAAAACGAGTCAGCCTGATAATGACCCTGCTGACACGTAAAGAAATCCATGCCTGCAGATGAATGGCCCTCTGGTGTGAAGTAAAGGTCACAGGAGGTCCTTGTGAGGTCACATGGGGTTGTGTGGCGTTTTTGTTTTTGTTTTGTTTCTGTTATTGCTGCTGTCTGATCTGATCCTGGCTGAGATGCATGACTATGATAGTGCGATAAAAGGTAGAGGCCTGGATCGACGGGAATGGTCCAGGTACGGTTAGGTAGTATTTTGGTCGGCTTTGGACACCGTTGGAAAAATGGATAATCCACATGAGCGATCTAGTTTCACATTCAGCGTGAAAAATCCTAGTAAGGGGTGTTGCTCCAAGCTGTGGCTTGTACAAATGATCAAACACCAGGTTGTGTGCTGTTTGGTTGAGTGGCGTTAGGAAACGCATGACAAACTTTTGTTCAGGCGGTAGCAGACGCTTCAGCTCAACAGTATACAGCTAAGAGTAGCAATTGTACATCCTCGGCTCGTCAAAAATCAGAAATGAACGACGCGTTGTGCTTCTCTATGCAAAAGATGACAGAGTTGGCTGGGAGTGGTGAATATTGGGTCAAATTCGTGGATGCACATACTAGATCATTGCCCAAATAAATAGCGGCAAAATGTTTAACGTTCTCGTTGATGTGCAACTGGCTTCCAAAAACAGTCAGGTCTGAACAATAATTTTCACCAAATGCTTTGCTTGCATAGATGAGACAGCAGTATTAGCTTTATTCCCCGGAAAAACCAGGAGAATGGAACATAGTTTGGTTGATATTTCTGCAATATGCCTTTATCTAAACAAAAGCAGAAGTGAACTCAAAATTGCCTGCCGATGATCCAAGTCAATTTTTCGGGTTATTTTTTTGAAACAGCAAACCACAGTTTTTACAGGGCACAACATTCAGGGAATCAAACAGATAGCAATTGCCAGCCATTACCAAGGTACAGCGCC